GCAATTTTTTATTCTGTCTCAGAATAAAATTTTAAAAAGTGTTAAGGATGTAGCTCAGTGGCAGAGGGTCTCTGGGTTCAATAGCCAGTACCACAAAATAAACTAATAACAATTGTTTTGTTTTGTTTTTTCAGTGCTGAAGATCAAACCCAGTCTTCGTACATGCAGGGCAAGCACTCTAGCACTGAGCTGCATCCCCAGTCCTCAACTGAATATTTTAAATTTTCTACTTGGCATGAGTATAAAGAAATAATTCCCTAGTATGAGAAGACAGCACTGCTAATAAAACAATAAATGGTAACTGATGCTCAGCCTGGGATGGGCAATGTGTCAGAAAAGCCTTGGGAGTGGTGAACTATGGCCTGAGGGCAACAGGGTCTCTAAATGGGATTAAGTTTCTAACTACTTCCTGGTGGGACAGCTAAACTCTCAGACCCTGAGGCAACTGTGTGTGTCCACAACCCAGCTGCACCACTTCTAGGCTGTGTAACAAGTTCCTCAACCTTTCTGCCTCCTTTTTCTTTTCCTTAAAATATGAATAATAGTAATAAAGTTGTTAGGAAGATTAAATTTGTGTAGTGCTTGGAACACTGCCTAGGAAGCAGTGTTAGCTGATTCCTAATTATAGCAACATGGGCCAGGTTACCACAGCTCCTGATTTTTCACAGAAGCCCAAACCCAGGTTACTATGTGAAGTATCTCAATGTTCAAAATGTGGCTTGTTTAATGCAGATTGTGACATTTATAGGTGGTGATGGTGCAACCTCTGCACTGTTTTCTTTTCCATGGCAACCTCTCCGGCTCTCACCAGTTACCTGTTGACAACAGATTGTTGACAGCACCACCCATCAGTTCTTCCCTGAGCCCCAGAGCCATATACTATACACAGATACCTGTTTAATGTTGAGATGGATACCTCAAACCAAAATGTCCCAAAGGGATTTTTTAATTTTCTTTTTCTTTTCTTTTTTTTTTTTTTTTTTTTTTTTTGTGTGTGTAGTGATCAGGATTAAACCCAGGGCCTTCTCTATCACCAAGCTACATCCCCAGCTCCACACAGGGAATTCTTGATTCCCCCTCCCCGTCTTAGTAAATGATTCTACTATTCACCATTTTTTAAAGCCAGAGACCTGGGAGCCACCCTTATCCTCCTAATCCTCTTCTCCAGGCCCACCTTCATGGTGGCAAGCAAGCGCTGCAGGAGAGCCTGGCCAATCAGAGGCCCTGAAATCCAATCTCCAGCCACTAGTCAAGCTCCCAAATCTGCTTAGAGGAAGGGGTAACTTTCTAAAGGTCCCTTTGCCTTAGCAGGGGTCAGTTACTTTCCTTTTCCTCCCATCTCCTCTCCAGTCTCTTCCTCACCAAGTCGTTAGGTATTTTGTCTACAGTTCTTGTATCCATCCACCTCCCTCCATCTCCACTGCCCAGGGTAAGCCAACCTCACTTCTCACCTAGATGACTTGGACAAAATTTTCCAATACCTTCATTGCTTCTTTGTTCACAAACCCCTCCAGTCATTCCCCATCCATTTTCTGCTGCAGGTGATAGTTTTTAAAAGGTGAATTGGATACATCATTCCTGCTTAAAACCTCTTGCTACAGGGAAGGTGACACATGGCTATAATCCCAGCAATTTGGGAGGCTGAGGCAGGAGAATTACAAATTCAAGGCCAGACTCAGGAATTTAGAATCTGTCTCAAAATAAAAATAAAAAAGGGCTAGGGTATAGCTCAGTGGTAGGGCATTCTTGGGTTAAATCCCCGGTAAGGCAGAGGTATGGGGTGGGGACAAACAAAACCCTTTGATGACTTCCTGTTGCTCTTATGGAAAAGATCAAAATCTTGCCACACCTATTTGTGTGTTCTTGCTACTGTGGATATCTGGATATCTGGTCCCATCTCTTGCACTCTACTTTTGCTTAAACAATCCTGAGTTCCTTCCATATACCTTGTCTGAGACTTAATCCTCCCCAACAGCTCCTCCTCTTCAGCTCTCACTGAATATTTTTCAAGGGCCCTTTTCTAACACTAAATGTGTTCCCTTGTGTTGTGCTTTCTAAGGGCTTTGCTCATTTCCTTCACATAGCCCGTCTTTGTTTTTGAAATGTACACACTGCACGCAAATGTGTAAAAAAACTATAGCTATGCTCTTTTTAAATGATACAAGCTCTCTCATAGGTTCTCATCCCTGTTCGGGATGTTTGCTCTTCCATGGCAACCTCATCAGCTCTTAGGAGCTTCCGGTTGACAACAGATTGTTGCCGGCAGCACCCATCCATCTTCCTGGAACCTTCAACTTGAGCTCACCTTAAACTTGCTAATAATGGAAGTTAGATCTGAGTCCTTCCTGGTCTAAAACAGTTTCATCTGGGGGGAAAACATTTGGGTAAATAATTTAAAGTTTCAGTTCTATCAAAACTTTCCCCCTTTTCTCTTTTCCCTCTTGACTTTCCAAGGTCCCTGATGGGATCTAGGGGAAACCTCAAGGCTATAGCAGGAAGGGTCTCTGATTTGTGCACAATTATGATGTGCATTTTAGGTCTTCACTGGCTTCTTCTGCCATGTGCCTTATCACTCCTGGTTACCACTGCCTTGTGGCATAAGCTGCTGAAGTGGTTGGCCAGCCATCTCATGACCTGTTGCTTCAGTGCCTTCGGATCTGAAATCTCATCTTTCACCCCCTCTATTCTATCCTTGCTCCTCTCATCAGCTGACTTAGGAGTACTTCAGCTTTGCTGGCACCTTCAGCTTTGCCCTTGATGTCTTGTCACATCCTCCAGCCAGCCAGCCATACCACAAGGCCTCTTTACTTTAGGAATAACTGGCCCCCCGACACTGTGTCCACCTATGGCTCTCAGCCAGCCTACTTTCTGCATGCCTGGCAGGGAGCATAGACAGAGGTATGGATTTCTGGCACACCATCTGCAAGTGTCAGAGCCCAGAAGCATTATCTCGGATTCCTCTCCCACCCAATGCCACTTTCTGCTCTTGAGCCCTGCTCAGTGTGGGACTTTTCCAAGAGCTGGGCAGCTTTCCAAGCTAGAGCAGGGAAAGTGGACGATCTGGATCCTTCAAGAGTGAAGGAACTCCAACACACTCACTGTGACCTCTCATTTTACCTCTTTACTCATGGAATTTATTTACTGAGTGCTGAGATGTGAACCCTGGGCCTGGCACATGCTAAGCAAGTGCTCTACCATTGAGCTATATCCCCAGTCCTCAAAAAAAAAAAAAAAAAAAAAAAAATTATCTCCCCAGTTTCTATTCTCTTTGAGTTTTAGCTTAAGGCTCAAAGAATCCTTTCTGTCAAGAAAGGATTCAGATTAGATTATTTCTCTGTCAAATGATAATCCAACTAAATTTCACAAGGGTAGGAGCTCTGTCTACTTTAATATCCTCAGTGCCTAACTAATATAAATGATTGGAACACAGTGTCTGAATACAAAATAGAAACATATAAAATTTTATTGAGCATCTGGGCATGGTGGCACACACCTGCAATCCCAGCAGTTTGGGAGGCTGAGGCAGGGGGATTGCAAGTTTGAGGCCAACCTTAGCAACTTAGCTTTTAAGCCAGAGCAACTCAGTAAGACCCTACCTTGAAATAAAAAATAAAAGGGGGGGTGATGTGTCTCAGTGGTTAAGTGCTTCTGGGTTCAATCCCCAGTACCCCCTTCCAAATATATATAGCAAATATTGTGAATCTGTTTTTACCCATAATAAACCTATGGTCAGGAGGCCAGAGGTGACATAAATTCCTCTATTTCCTCATAATGTATGGCTTTTGAGTAAGTTCCTGGCCCTACTTTTCACACGTTCCATAATTACTTTTTGAGTACATACTGAGTGTAATGAACTGGACATTTTATTGGTGATATAGAAGTGTATCTTTTAAAACATTCATATTAAGCATTAAATACATCAAACAATTGATAATGTATGTAAAGAAAGTATGAAAACAAAGAATTCAAACTCTCTAAGTCCATCCCCTTACTCCAATAGTAAATATCTACATACTGAAGAGAAAGGACTGAAGGGGGCCAGAGACCCTCAAGATCAGTTGAGAGGCTGTATTGCAGTCTCCCTCCACCTTCTTCAGTGTTGGGGAACAAGCCCAGGGCCTTGAGAATGCCAGAGGCTACTGCATCTTAGGCAGAAATGATGAGGTGTTGGGTAGGATGGCCCATGGAAAAGAAATGAGATGGCTGGCCTCAGAGATGGACTTGACAGTCACTAGTGTGACCTCTGTTAAATCGCAACATTTTTGAGCTTTCCTTTCTTTCTTCCTTTTTTTCTTTTTCTCCTCTCTTTGTCTTTCTTTTCACTGGGGTTGCCCTTTGCTGCCCAGGGTGGGCTCAAATGATCCTCTTGCCTCAGCATCCCAAGGAGCCCAGACTACAGGTAGGCACACGGAGCCAGCTTGAGCCTTGTTTTTGTATCTATAAAATGGGTTGTTATAGTTACTGTTATGTGTCTCCCCATCACCTAGTATAGAAGTTGGCACAAGGGCTGGGGCTTAGCTCAGTGGAAGTGCGCTTGCCTAGCATATGTGAGGCGCTGGGTTCGACTCTCAGTACCACATATGAATAAAAAGAAAAAAAAAAAAGTTGGCCCAAGACGGCACACACAGAAATCAGTTATAATCGTACCACGGAAGCTCATGAACGCCGGAAGAATGAATATTCTGTCAAACTTGGGACTAGAAGTCGCCGTCTTCTGGACAGGAAAATGATGGAAGCTGGCTTCTGCAGCACCCACACCCGCAGTCCCCGCAGCTGGGTGGCGCGGCCAGATTCCCGGCCTGGGCCAGCCCCCGCAGACCCGGGCCCGCCCCGCCCAGCTCGCCCCGCCCCCCGCCCGCGCGTCCCCGCCGCCAGCGCCGCGCGCGCCCCGCCCCTGCTGCTGACGTGCGGTGCGGAGCGGGTAGAGCGGGCTCCACCGAGCCGTGCGCTTCCGCGGGCTTGCGGGGTCGCTGGGCCTCGTGGCAGGGCGGCTCCGCGGGGCTTCGCTCGCTCCCTCCCCTCCCCGTGCCCCCTCGCCTCGCCCGGCGGGGCCGCGCTGCAGCCACGGACCGGAGAAACGGTGAGTGCTGGCGGGATCGGGGTGGACGGCGGCGCGCGCCCCGCTCTCCCGGGCATTGTCTGGGCGGGGGCTGCGCGGGCACGTGCGCGCCCCTCCTCCACCCGCCGGCCGCGCGGCGGCCGGACTGAGGCGGGGCTGGGGGAGCCTGAGGCCGCGGAGGGGAGGGGACGGGGGAGGCTGGGGGAGTGAGGTCGCTAGCCGCCTGTGCGGGAACCGGAATTCGGACGTCCGTGTGCAGGGGTCCTTTTTGAAGGGGCGCTGCGCTTCGTAGGGGTTGGTGGCTCTCTGAGCCCCAGTGGCCGAGCTTTCAGTGTAGTCAGCGTGGTGGCCTGTGGATGGTATTGGAAACAAAAATTGGCCCAGCACCAGCAAGTTGTGGATTTACCAAAAAGATTCTGGAATGTACCTCCAACCTGTCGCCATCACCGCTGGCCCTTCGCCTCCGAAGGGTGGGCAGAGTGAGAAAGGTGTGGGATACTCCAGGCGCGATGCCGGAGTCAAGCACCGGAGGTGTGAGACAGTGCGGCGTTAGAGTGGAGCCTCGGAAAGTGAGGGCTTGCCAAGAAAGGCTGGCTCTATGGGTTGTGTCCACATTGCAGAAGACAATGAGCCTTTTAATATAACCTTCCCCCCATTATGTGTGTAGTTAGGTTAAAAAATAGAAAGTAGAGGAGGGAAAATATCACTGCAGCCCCGACACATCATTCTTCGATGTATGTTTTCTTGTATTTTCATCTAAGCATGTTTCTTAACAGTTACAGTTGACCCATATTTTCCATTGTGTTTTTCCTCATGTAAAAAAATGCGATGTAATATTACATGTATTCAGCAGTATCGTTCTGTTAAGTAGCAAGTATTCATTGTAGAAGAATTTAAAAATAGACGCAAAACTAGAAAAAGTACTTTACTGTCTAGAAATAATTACCATTGATTGTGTAGACTTTCAAAGATAGGGACAGACAATTCCCTGATTAGTTTTATTTTAAAAGATTTTGAGAAGGGGAGTAGCATAATCTGCCTGCTACATGGAGGAAGAAGCCAATAAAGAGAGATGGGAGATCAGTTCCAATGCTGTGTACAATAACTTGGTCTAGGCCCATGGCAGTGGAGATGCCAAAGAGTGAAAAGATTAAAAAATAATTTGGAGGGCTGGGGTTGTGGCTCAGTGGCAGAGTGCTTGCCTAAGATGTAAATAAATGGCCTGTTGACAACTAAAAAAATATTTAAAAAAATAATAATTTGGAGGTAGAATGAACAAAACTTGAAAGTGAATTGATGAGAAAAGAAAGGAGTCTTTGCTTTTGTTTTTTTGAGCAACTGAGTAGATAATGGTGTCATTTATTAAGATGCAGAGTAGAAGAGAGTAATTTTTTTTAGGTTTTAAAAAAGTTTTTTTTTAATTACTGGGGATTGAACCCTGGGATGCTGTACCACTGAGCTACATCCCAGTTCTTTTTTATTTTTGAGAGAGGGTCTCACTAAGTTGCCCAGGCTGGCCTCAGGTTTGTGATCCTTCTGCCTCAGCCTTTCAAGTAGCTAGCATTTGGGTGTGCACCCCTGTGCCCAGCTGGGAGAGAGAAATTTGAGGAGGAAAAAAACATGAGTTTCATTTTGGATGATTTAATTTGAGATGCATATTAGTCATAAAATTGGTATGTTGAGAAAGTAGTTGGATGCACAGGTCTGGAACTCAGGGAGCTTCTAGAACTAGAGATGAACATTTGGGAATGATCAGAATATATTCAAAGATATGGGACTATGTGAGGTCACTTAGGAAAAGAGTGTAGAGAGAGAAGCAAATAGAACTTGGACACTCAGATACTTCCAGAGCGAAAAGGTTGAGCAAACGATGGAGAAGAAGCAGGTTTTTCTCCTCTTGGGAAGCCAAGAGAGGGAGTTTCTGGAAGCTAGCATTGGTCCTCATATCAGTGCTTCTGAAATGTTTAGTAAGATTGTCATTTGGATTTGACAACCTGAGGCTATTGTTTATCCACAATTCTGAAAGCAGGGGAGGTGGAGAACAGAATAGTCCAATGGGATGTAAGGAAGTAAAGACAATGAGTGTGTTGCCAGATCTGGTGGCGCACACCTGTAATCCAGGAGATTTGGGAGGCTGAGGCAGTAGGATCACAAGTTGGAGACCAGCCTCAGCAACTTAGACCCCCAGCAACTTATCTTAAACAACCCTCTCAAAATAAAAATATAAAAAGGATTGTGGATGTAGCTTATTGGTAAAGCACCCCTGTGTTCAATCCTCAGTACCAAAAAAAAAAAAAGTTTCAAAGGCTAGAGTTTATTTTATACATAAGTTGGAATTTAACTTCATTCTTGAAGGATGAAGAACATTTTGGTAAGTAGAGAAGGTCAAGGTGAAATTGGAACTCATTGGAAGATGATTGTGAAATGTTCAGGCATGTGAACTTTGATGACTAGACCTACAGAGGTAGAAGAACTAGTTCTCCTAGGCAAGGGTTGTTTGATCTGCTTGTATGTAGAGTGGGCTGTGGAGGGGGGACTGTTAATGTGATGGTGGAGAGGGGTGGGGGTGGGGATTCAACTTTATTTGTAATATTTTTCATTCATAGTGGTGGATACATTGGGGATTGTTTTTGTATTTTTTTTCAAGTATTATTCAAGCATATGGGTATATTTTTAAATCGAAATAAAATTTAATTACTGTTTTGAAGTATAGAATTGTTGAGATTTTACTATATTCATGAGATTGTGCAACCATCACCAGTATCTAATTCTGTGACATTACTATCTCCAAAAAAGAAGCCCTTTGCCTGTTAGCAGTGTTGATTCTCCCCTTCCCTCATTTCCCTGGCAACCACTTTCTATGTCTGTGCATTTGCCTGTTTCTACACATTTCATTATAAGTATAATCTAACATGTGTCTTTTTTCACTTAGTACAGGGTTTTTCAGTGTTCATCTATTTTATAGCTTGTATCAATACTTCCTTCTGATTGCTCAATAATATTCCATTGTAGGAATGTACATTTTGTTTACTATTCATCAATAGATTGGCATTTGGGTTGTTTGCATTTTTTTGCTATTATAAATAATGATATTGTAAGTAATGCTATTATAAATTATGTGTAAAAATATTCATATATGTTTGCAAGGATATATGTTTTCATTTTTCTTGAAGACATATGTAGGAGTAGAGTTGCTAGTTCATATGGTAATTCTGTCTTTAATTTTTGAGAAAACACCAAGCTTTTCATTATGGCTGCACCATTTTATTTTGCCAAAAATGTATAAGGGTTCCCATTGTATGTTCTTACACATTCTGGCAGACTGTGTTTAATAGTGTTGTGTATGTGCAAACAGCTTTATTGAGGTACAGTTGACAGGTCACAAACTGCACATATATAGAATGTACAACTTTTTTAAGTTTTGATGTAGATATCTGTCTGTGAACCTATCACCACAGTCAAGATAGTAAATATCCAATCTCTCCGAAGTGTCCTCATGCCCCTCTGAAAACTCTTTTCTCCCTATCCTTACCCCTCCCCAACAGGCAGCCATTGCTCACCTTTTCCTTCACACTAGACTTCTTTGCATTTTATGTAAATGGAATAATGTAGTATGTACTTTTTTGGGCGTGAGGATTAACAAGGATAGAACCCAGGGCCTTGAACATGATAGGCAAGCACTCTACCACTGAGCTATATCTCCAGTCCTTTTTTTTTAAGTTGTTGAGGCTGATCTCCCAGCTTGCAGTTCTCCTGCCTCAGCCTCTTGAATAGCTGGAATTACAGGTGTGTGCCACAACATTCAGCTTAGTATATTTTATATTTTTTCAAAAACTGGCCTCTTTTACCCAGCATCATTTTGATGTTAATTCACGTTATTGTGTATATCAATAGTTTATTCCTTTTTTGGTGCATAAAATTTTATTATACAAATATATTACAACTTATTTAATTCATTCACTAATTAGTGGATTTTGGGGTTGTTTCCAAGAATGTGTGTGGTTATGGGGATTGAACCCAGGGCCTTGTGCATGCTATACACATGTTCTACCACTGAGCTACGTTCCCAGCCCCAGTCTCTCACTGTGTTCTCCTGTCTTTTTTTTTTTTTTGAGATGAGGTCTTGTTATATTGCCTGGCTGGTCTTAAACTTCTGTGTTCAAGTGATCCATCCTTCCACTTCTGCTGCCCAAGTGGTGTTTCTGGTTTTTGACTATTACAAATAAAGTTGCTGTGAACATTCATGTCCAAGTTCTTTTTTTTTTTTTCTGAATTTTTTAATATTTATTTTTTAGTTTTCTGCAGACACAATATCTTTGTTTGTATGTGGTGCTGAGGATCGAACCCGGGCCACATGCATGCCAGGCGAGCGTGCTACCGCTTGAGCCACATTCCCAGCCCCATGTCCAAGTTCTTACATGGACATATACTTTTATTTCTCTTGAATAAATACCCAGGAGTGAAATTCCCAAAGTGTCTGTACCATTTTACATTCCTACTAGTGGTACATGAGAGTTCCAGTTGTTCCATGTTCTCTAATTTTGTTTTTTTAAACATAAAGAGAAGCATAAAATAGAGACATGCAGACATCTATAATCTGTCTCCCAGATTAATCCTTTTGTCATTTTTATCTCCCAAATACCACATCTGTGTGGTTAGAAAGTTCAAACATGGTAGACAAGAATAAAATGAAAAAGCAAATCCACTACCCATTGGTAACTATTATCAATCATTTTGATTTTTTTTTCTCCCAGAAAGCTTAAAGAAAACACACTTAAGTATTTCTTTTTTCTGTCTTCACTTTTCCCTAGTTTATACAGAAGGAATGAAAATATGTGCACTGATCTGTGTCTCCATGTGTTTCACTTCACAATTTATTTTAGAGGTATTTCCATATCAGCCCATTATTTTTCTTTCTTTCTTTCTTTTTTTTTTGGTACTAGGGATTGAACCCAGGGGCATTTAACTATTTAGCCACATCACTATCCCTTTTTATATGGGACAGGGCCTTGCAAAGTTGC